TCGATGAACCAGGAGACGCTTACTTTTCCAATATACCTGGTCTTATTCTGCTGATACTTTTCCAGGTGTCTGCGTATAAATATTCCCTTTGGACGTATTTCGCCCTAATTTTACTGAACTTGGCTTTTAATTATGATCTTATTCTGCAACTGCGCTGCGATTGTCGGAATACACATACCACGTATTTTGGAGTATTCAACAGTAACGGAAATACTTTTAGCACGTGTGTTAAATCGACAGAATTACTTTAGAATTTACTTAAATATTCCGATTAACAATATGAATAGCTGTTGAAATAAGCGATTTTACATGTTGTAATGAACAAGTTTATATACGAAAGTTCACAAAATCGCTGTCACATCCGTTGAAGTAATTATATTAAATTCAACGTCAGGTAAACAAAGACCGAACAACAACACTGTTGGAGTTTTCATGGTCTGAATTTTACAAAGTGTTGCAAGAAAAGTAGAATATGTAGTCAGTGTCATAAAATATAGGCAGCATTTTGACTGGGAACAGAAGGACAAAAGTTACTGCAGATGGCAGGGTCCAAGTTTGCTGAACAAGAAATACTGCATAACATCAGAATCACATTCTGCGCGCAACAACATTTCGTAGTTGCGGTGTTGCTTTTTAGGGAGGCTTTTCTCTAAACTGTTCAACTTCACATGCTGTCCTTGAAGAAACTTTAAATTGGCAGAAGAACTGTTATCAAATCCTTGACCTTGAGTTGTCCAACATTTCGATGCCCAATCATTGACAAATCGGTCAATCTTAATGGATGACAAGAATAGGTAGAAACTTCCTCGGACAAAAGGTAAATGTACCGGACTCACATGCCAAACAACTGGAGAATTACGAGGTGCATTTATTCAGGAGTGAATGTGGTTTTCTCAAAACAAGTTTCGGCGTCTGGTCATTGGAATGACACGACGATTACAACAACTGTACCAGAGGAAAGGTGGCAATACCTGATATTAATATTTCCATACCCAGCAGAACTCTTTGATTCGTTAATCTTCCTGGTCAATAACATGTTCTGATGATTTGACGACGTATCTGTTTATAAGAATCAGTAACTTTAAATCTTTGAGAGCATCCGTTTGGATCATGTGCAGGACTTCCAGTAAGAAAATCTGTAAATTTCTCTCGACTGTGTATATTTTCATTAGATGCCCTAAGATATTCCAATATCGTGTTGTGTTGTGTTGGTATTTCTATGAAACCGCAATCATACACAGTTCATTCCGAAGCAACCCTAATAATTGTTGCTATATCCAAATAGAAAGTAAAATTAACGTTTGTAACACATTTATTGATTGGCTGATGATGTGTGTCTTCATGATTGTTGGAACGGGCACGCGTATTTTGAAATATGATATTAAGTTTATAAACTACGTCACAATCGATAAAACCAGATGTGAATTACTCCGGCTCATATTTTCTTTACCAAAGTCTTCTTTGCTGAAATTTTCAGTATAAATGAAGAATAAAGCACACTTACAAAGAAGAAAAAAATGTACTTGAAGACAATATTTGAATACACAGAACAAGATATGTTTATGAAACACTATGCCTCCGGTTGCAGCAATATTCTGAAGCGGGACATTCTAACTGTACCCGGTAAGGCATGTGCTAATTGCATGCACACTTTGTGAAACACTTGTGTCTTTACTATGCAGTTGTTAAGGCCAATGTTTAAGATTTAAAATGTAGGTCAAATGTCACGGTCAAAACTTTTTGATACCAACAGAAAGGTCTTGTTATAGGAAAGTCATTCCACTTACGGTGCAGTAGTCGATGCGGGGGCATAGAAAGGTACGGCGAATAAAGACATTAACAACTGATGAACGACTCATTTCGATAGAGACTATGCTATATCAAGTAGTGAAAGTAGAATTCCTTAAAGCAGAGACAGCGAAATTCGAATCGACAATGGATAGGCTTCAGCACAATTTTACATCATAGATAAGCATTCTAAAGGACGAACACGGAAGATTAGCAAGTCCTTCGCTAGAAATGACACCTTATCGTTATCTTCAATACCAAGTAAATCGGTTATTTTGCAGACAACCTATGTACCTGATCTAGACTAACATAGCACATTATTGCTTCAGAGCAGGTATTTTATTTTAAAGTTCCATATCACAGAGAAAAAACATTATGATGTATGACGGGTGTGTTTGAACTCTAAACCTTTCTAATATGTTCTTTACAGTTTCTTGTTCTGGAATTTATTTTCTTTTTCAGTTGACTGCTGTCATTTTTTTACAATATATTCATATCCATTAGTTAGAAATCTATAAGCAGTAGTTTTAGTTTAATGAGAGAAAGGTTAAGTATTATAGATGTATGGAAGCTAAAGAATGGAGCAACTGGGCAAGTGCAGAAATCTCATCTGATATCGCAATGAAGATGAAAAGTAAAAGTGGGAAAACCCCGCAAAGCCTAGAACCACTCAGGATGTTATTTGACATTCTTTTCACCACTTCTTGGAAACTATTTATTGACGCTGTTAAAATGAACTCTGACATCAGTTTGCATCAAATACGATTTTATTTTGTGCTTAAGTGTCCAAAAACGATTTGATCCAGAAACTTTAGGACGTGGGTCGTAACAACCATTATTTTCCGTCTGAATGAGACAAAAAACTTGTGTGATAAAATGACTACAAAGAATATACCGCCACACTCCTTTAGAAAAATACAACCCACATTCTTGGGTCCATTCGGAGCCCATAGGCGCTGCACCAGTCTAGAACCCGTGTAAGGACAAATCGGTTTTTCCATTTTCAATTAACACGGGTAGCACCCTTTTTCTACCAACGGTTTCTGAACTGACAATTTGAACGTCATCTTTTTACGCTCTTCCACCAATCTTCTTGTTGGTACAGCATGCTTAAACGGCTTTACCCAGAATCCCCGACATGGTTCTCCCATTCTTATGTGTCACACCAACAAAAAAGCATTCCGGAAGGGCTGGTTTCTTGACGGGACGACTGTCCTCTTTATGTCCAGATAACCTGTCTGTAGTGTTAATCCGTACTCCTCTGTTGGTCATCTTATCGTTATACCTTGTTCCTTGCGGCCTGGAAGCCTTAGTCGAGTTATTCCAATTGATTTTTTCATGTTACTAATAATGCAAATGAAACTGTTAATTTGGCTCCCATTTATTATTTTCATTTTACTACTTTAGTAGTTATTCGGTATATTTTGTTAGTATTGTTTTATAACATGTATGTAAACATTGAAACAAAGTAGAACCACAAACAACTTTCGGACTACTGATTTCTGGGGGGACAGTACAATCATGTATTTTATGTTTCTTGGTTTTTTTTGCTAATTTGTTCCGCGCAATATTTTTTTAAAAGCTAAATCAAATTTTTTTTTATGTCATTCCAATTTATTTCAATTATTTTTGCCCGGAAGGAAGCTCCAAATAAAACTCCTAAACCAAGTAAGGGAACCTTTGCTTCCTGTGCCGCTTTAACTTTGAAAATTCGCGTTTGACAAGTTTTCCAGAAATGTGAAAATGATGTTTTCTCCTTCTTTTTCTAATTTCTTCAGGCATTCCGTTGTCCCAATGTAGTCTGACCTTGTTACCCGAATTTTACTAACACGTAGTCATTGAAACATTTGATAGAGACAGGTTACGAAAAAAACAACTATTTGGGTTTAATGTAGGTTTATTGCATCTGTCCAAGTGATTACTCCTCGTCCGAGATACTGCTTACGTCTCCTAGTCGCGGCTAATTCGGCTTAACGCTCAGCTGTGGTTTTGGGTGGAACGACTGGTTTGTTCACTATACTGTGACTTAATAGGGTGACCTAGATAACTGCAGCTGTATACTTGTAGTTTAATTTCATTATGTTCTCAAATATGCAGTCTGTTGTTATGGACAAGGAAAGAACAATATTGTTTAATTGCAAACACTGGTTCAGAAACCTCATATATGCCGCTCGAAAAACAAGTCATACATTTACATGTATGTCGTGACTACAATTTAATTAGTTGAATCGTTGAATGTGCATAAAAGAAAGAAATATCACTCCTTCATCTGAACGAAAATGTCAAGACACAACTCCGAACCACTTAAAATATGATTATTGAGATACTGCAGTGTTTATGTGACCTAATAAGTCCCAACGGACTCTGTTTACTAAGTCAATCAGCACAGCAGCCTAATAATGTATTGTATATATTTCATCTTTTCCGCATCCAGTAGGTGAATAGTTTGTGCTGAGAGTGGCGGGTAGTCTGTAGTATGAGCGGTGTTAGTGGTATACGGAGCGCGCATTACACTGCAATCGTCCCCGCTCTCTGTTGAGCGTACTGAAGCAATCCATAACAGCACAGGGCTCCAGACCGACCAATGCAGTAGAAGCATCGCCTCGGCGTATTACTACCTGATACTCATAGATCTTCTCTCATTAATTCATCTAAGGGTTTCTTTCCTTTATCGTTTTTTAATCCTGCTGCATACAGTGTAAGCACATGTCTTGGATATTAAACATCCCTTTATGATTAGTGGTTTGTGCAGTTCATGTGTGTTGATAGAGTTTTTATAAAACTAGAACGGACCAACATCGACAGGAGACGGCTCATACAGGTGGGAAACTGATGTATATTGTGTCGGAAGCGCCGTTACTGTTATCCAATACTTTTTATTGGTATTAAAAAACCACGTGGTATTACAATATTGCTTGCTGTTTTCCAACTGTGCCAGGTTTGATACGGAATTAACTTCAAGTTGTTTGCTGACTTCTACAAACCGTTCTTTTTAAGTTGATGTGGTTGTCTTGTTAATGATCCGTGAAAAGTTGTGAATAACCAAATTTACAATTGTGGAGTATTTTTAAGTGTATAGTGATTTGTGATTCTGATTTACTATTTTCTTTGTGTTTGGTATAAATCTGGAATGCAGAGCATTTTGGATTGAAGAGATAAAGGCATTGATATATTTTGGAAAAGAACGTGATTTGAGTAATTCTTAAAGCAAAATGATGGAACCCAACCAAGATCAGCAAAAAGTGAACACTCACATCGTTATTCCGGTCCCAGAGGAAGGAACAGGGCCGCGTAGAAATAAATGTAAGGAATCATGCCTTCAAAACGTGAAAGAAAACCTTATTCTGATTCTTTTGTTAGGATCTGTTGTACTTGGGGTGGCCATTGGGTTTGCGGTACGTTCTGGGACGGTTATGACAAAAAGAGAAATTATGTATCTGTCCTTTCCGGGAGAAATGTTGATGAGAATGTTGAAAATGTTGATCCTCCCGCTCATTGTGTCAAGTTTGATAGCGGGAATCGCCGGTCTGGATGCCAAGACATGTGGCAAGATGGGTTTGAGAACTATGGCCTACTTTGCGACCACTACACTTTTGGCGGTCATTTTGGGGATAACAATGGCCGTCATTATTCAGCCTGGACGAAATGCTGACCGGTCGAAAATTCAACGATATGGAAAGACCGAAAAACTTAATACCGCCGACACTTTCCTTGACCTTGTCAGGTAAGTTTTTTTTATAATTCTGCTTTGTTTATTTATCCTTACATAGAAAACCGGAAGCCAAGGTCAAGGTTGCTCAAAACAACAACATCAGTTATCTGTTTTACTACTTTAAATATCAACATAATTAATAAATCAAATTATGACATAAATTTCTGAATCCGAAAATTGACATCGATATCCTTTTGCAATTCAGTTTGGTTTGGAGCCAATGATACTTTTAATAACAATTTGATACCATCAGACAGCAACCATGTGAAGTATTACTTCTCGAAGGTTGAAAATGTCCTGGTGCATAATACGTTTATACAATATAGCACATGAAACCTGCGCAATATTAATCAGAGGAAATTTGTCCAATATGTTGCTTGTGTTTTCGGTAAATCAATTTTTGTTTTGTTTTGTATTGATCACTTCAAGCTGATATGTTTGATTACTGTGAAAAACCTGTATGCAATAACGTTCATTTCCTGCGGTTGTGTAATATAAATGAAAGATCTGAACAGTATATGTTTATTTGAGCCGACGAATACATCTCTAATCAACTCGTTATATATGTATCTGTTTATTGAATTATTATTAGTCCAGGAAAAATGTAAAACTTGTGGTTCATACAGCTGCGATTCAAAACACAACGTGGAATATGTAAAATAGAAAATATCCGTTTTTCATTTTGTTTTCTATGCTCTATTCATTTACACAAATATTTAGTTTCATTGCTTCCAAGAAATGGGAATACTACTTTAAAACGCATAATGATGCTAGTTTTAGATGTGTTATAATATATTGTTTGTGTGTAGAACACCATCATAAAATGGGAATGTATGCATTTCGTAACTGAATCTGGTAATAAATAAATATCAGCGATCATTATAACGAAAAGTAAAGAAAAAGAAAAATATTACACACAATTAAGATCAAGAGGTTTTTTTAACGGGATCATAGATTTACATTAGATATTACATAAGAGATGCGGGTTTACCTCAACACAAAAAACAGTGACGTATGGATGTGATCTGTATTGAATCACCGGTATTGCTATTTATTGCACAGTAGATGATGTCTGATATCACGTGATATACCATGTGTCTACAATCATTCCTATTCTATTTTTACACGTGATCGACAGATGCCTTCACGAGATTGAGAATTGCATAAATGTGGAATGGAATTTTTACTCAAGTTTTTATGTTTCAAAATGTTCGTGACTGTTTTAATTTGCCACCACTAATTACGTGAGTAAATTTACTATCGCAAAAATTGTCTTTAGCTTGAAAATGTTTGTGAAAATGAATATTTTCAAGAAATAATCATTTTCGCTGCAAAAGCTGATGGCTAGTACTCCATCAGTAGAATTTCCTGATTGACACCAGACACTCTTTCAGTAAAGCTAGCAACATATGTGTTGTTTTTCCCCTTTTTGCAATCGGAAATTTACTTTTCATTTTTTCATAAGTTTTCTTTCAGAAAGTTTTTTTTTAAGAATAATAATATATTCAAACACATTAAATGTATCATTGATTGTCTGATATTCTTTAAACGTAGATTAGACATAACATTTATAATGATGTAAACATGCGAGTCAGTTGTAACATATTGTCGATTGATAGTACACGCCCACATGTGTATTTACATTTTAATTGTGTCACCATATTCGTCTACATTATGATATGAGTTACTTCAGCGCGATTAGAAACTTATACTGACGCTATATTGTTTCCCAAATTTTCAATTCTCACTATAATCATGACCCTAAGACATTATAAATCCTTAATAAACTGATGTTAATTTCGGAATGAAGGAAAGTGGATTGTGTTTATTGAGTTTTACAACTGGTATCGTTAACAATAGATATCTGCACCCACTCTTATATACACTGTACTTGATGGTAAGAGAAGATAGTAGCGTTATGATAATTAAAATCAATAATTAAAACATTCCCTGCTAATTAGATTTAATTTATTAACAAGTCCTTGACGCTATAAGTAAATGAGGTTTCTGTTGGGTGTTACTGTTAAATGTCATCCGGACGTTGAGAACAATAGTACATTTAAATATTCAGTGTACAACGCTACTTTCTCCAGTGTTGTTCAACACTACAGCAAGCTCATTTATGTATGATATTTAATTTTTTCTCAAACCAGCAACTTGCATTATTTATCTAAGTTAATTGCAGACTGAATTTTATGACATGATTGTTAGCTTCATGCATCGCCCTGTGAAAAGTCAGTGCCATTTTGAGGTAGAGCTACTTCACTGAACAACATACGGGATGTCCACAACATGTTATCAGGGCAAAATGTCTCCCAAAAGATACAACCACGACAGCAGAGCCCAGTCCTCACAGCTTACCGAGAAACACACGCCACAGGTATCGAACATCGTACCTTGGGTTGCCTAGGCCAGCTCTACCGACTGAGCTGTCAGAACAGAATTTAAACATTACATGATAAGACTTATTGAACCAATTTAGTAGCACTTCTCTAATCAACACAAAGTCAGTAATTATGACTATTGTTTGTATTCAAATCGCGTACTTCGGAAGGAAATGACCGATGAACGAAATCAATTATATATACAGTATATCTTAAACGAAAGATACTCCTTTCTTTTGATAGGAGATGATCGCAATCGGTCAAATACAAAAATTGAAGACATATTTGTGGATGTGGATTAACCGTATCATTGAATAAATCAGGTGGAAAGTAAAAACTAATGTATACAAAAATATTTTATAAATGGATTCTTCGAAATTGATCATTCAGAAGAAATATTCTACAGTGCAAATCAATTATGAATGAAAATTATTTGCAACTTTAAAGCTTTATCAACATCATCAGTTCAGATTTTTGTTTGGCTATCGCACCTCCCCACCTTAATTCCTTTCCTTTCGATCACTCCGAATTTTCTCCTATGCTTCAAAAATTAGGTCATTGGCATCATTAAAGGACGAAATAGCTGTATGGTGCTGTTCATAATTCATTGTCTGAATCTGTTTTTAAAGGTGCTATCAATTTCTGTATCCTATTTCATAATCTTAGAGATAACCTTATGATAAAGCATAGGATGTTTTCCAATAAATTATGAGTACCTTAATTATAAATTTCATATAAAAGTTATATCGCATACATTTTTGTATTCCAATCAATGGCCTATTTTTTCAAAATGAACATTAAGATAAAATTTGAGCGTTCCAAAATACTTCCGCTTACAATCAACCTTTGTTTTTTAAAATCCGAAATCTTGTCCAGAAAATAAATATAAATTTCAGGTCAACTATAATTGATGAATAAAAAAGTAATGCAAAAACGCTAAACGAAACTTATCTTATTGAAACAACCAAACGAAACCTTGTATATTAAAGTCCATGTCACTTGTATCCGTTTGCCATGCAATCAAGTGAACCTACAGTATAAGATTAATGCCGATGTTTAGTGGTGTTATTGTGAAACTTATTTCCACAACAAATACTCCCATCCATCTTCTTTCTCGTTGCAATTTGTAACCCAACGGATTTGGCTTTTTCTGCAACAAGTAATACAAAATACAATCAATCTAAAAAAAAAGAGGAAAGAAAAACATTATCTTGTGTATATTGATGACACAGTCCAAACGCTCCATGTGTTCGGATTGTGTTAGACACAGCTACGATACTGTCTGTTTCCGTTACAGCTTTAGTAAGGTCCATAGGGACCATTTCACAACAGGGACACCAGACATACTAGCTCCTACGTATCAATAATACATTGATCAACCACGCATAGCAAAAAGAGCGCGCTTCCCATTCTGTGACAAACAATACACAAGACTTTTTAACATGATGTTGGAGCTGCCAATAACATAGACTATATTATATCCGAGTATAACGAGTTGATGAGCCCTACAGGTATTTAAACAAACAAAATTTAAACAATCGGATGTTCAACTGTTGTGTTATTGTCAAGCTGATTCAGAAAACATTTCACTGTGAGCAATATTTTACAATAGGACAATCGATTAACATATTGTTATAGATGACCTTCATCAAGATCAAACTAAAATAATAGAATAAAACAATGCAGAGAAGTAAAGGTAAATGGGGTTTATATTTGCAATCAACAAACAATCCCTGGAGACGATATTGCCTATATACATTTAAAGGGAAGGCGCCGCCATTATATTTGAATTCTGATGAAGTTTTCGTGGTAAAAGGTCCTATATATAGTCAGTTTTAATTGTTAGACATATCATGCAGTGAATAGTCATGGTTATTAAGAAACAGGTTTGGTAGCCAGTGTTTGCATTATCATATGCAATTATTTACATATGCTATCAGTTTGTGGTTAATAGATATAACAGAAAGACTAAAGGTTTTTACTAAACACAACATGCTGAACATTGTATTATATGTTGTTATTCACCTGTGTCTTTTGTTCAATCTTTGTAGTGCAGAAGGAAATATGGTCTATTGAAATAAAGTTTTTTCGTAGTGTTATTATACTTGATATGACTGCAAGTGGTATTTTGGCAAATCTCATAGAACCTTGAATTGCAACTATATCGAGTATGCCTATATTAAAAAAACATTTCAGTATCTGTATTTACAAACCCAACAGCAGTGTTGGCAATATTAATTACATATCAGTGACATCGAGTGAAACACATAATTGAATATGATGAAATAAATCGAGAGCCGGAAATGGCCACTAAGAACACTGTGAAGTCACAATACATTGGAATCAGTAGCAATCATGATATTAGGTCTCTAGTGTTGTATTGAATGACAGTGGGCAAATGTAAATAAATACTTGGTTTTATGCCCTAGTTATTGATGTATATTTTGTTCTATTCCACGGGATTACATTTAGTTATAATGTGGTCTTTAAAAATAGCGCGATATCGATTACCCAGCAAATACAGCGAGTCAAAACCAAATTTTAAAAAAACTTCTATATGCCTGTATCATCACCAATGTATGGATATGCGGAAATTTGATAACTGAATAGGGCAGCAACCCAGAAAAA